TCTCACGTTGGGCTAGCATCTCTTACTCTAGAGAAGGACACCCCATTCTCCCCCCGTCCCCCCCCCACCCCGTTGGATGGCAAAAACTATTCCCAGCTCTTCCATGGAACTGGCCTCCATGTGCAGGTCTTGCCAATCAGAAGACTTCCATCCTTCTGACCATAGTGATTGGACCAAGAGGAGCCAATCAGTATCCTCTTTTCAACTTTTATCCCAGCCCTATTCAGAGAAACTCCTTTGACTGGGTTTGCTTCACTGAAGGAGGATAGGCATTTGGAGCTGCTGTGGGTTCTCCCACCCTGCAAGAGGCCCGAGCTCTGACCATGTCTGGGCTCCTGGATCCTCTGCAAGTTAAGCAAAGTGGAGCCTAGAATGCAATGGGAGGGGATCCTGGAAGACATCAAAGAGGCTCCTCGACTCCAGCTGGCCGGAGGCTAACTCATCCTACGTCATGACAAGTGAGTCTTGGTACTTTTTTTCTTTCCTGTTTAAGGTCCTTTGGTTTATTCTCCAGGCTCTAGAAAAGCTGGCCTCTAGTCTCAACTTCCACTCCTGGACACAGATGAGCAGACCCTCCTGGTTTCCAAAGGCAGCCACTCCATTTCTTCTGTGCTCTCTTTTCTGCAGAAAGGGGCCTCCCCCAGCTCCTGCGTAACTGAACGTTTGCTGTAGTTTTTCTTCCAGAATCTGATTCATTTCCTTTTCTACAGTAGAATCATGTTTGATTGAATTATGTTTATTCTAATTATGCATATTGGGGCTTGAAGTGTCTTTAAGTCATCTGGTTCAAACCTTCTTGTTCTGTAAGAAAATTGTTTCATGAAGTGGCTCGTTGCCAGAACACTGACACCCCATGAGGGCAGTAACTGGGTCTGCTTTGTCTGCTTGTGCATCCAGATAGCACAGAACAGTTCCTTCATCTGCTTGATGAATGCTTACACGCTTGTCAGAAGGTCTGTGTTGGCTGTGAATCTGCACTCCAGGTGTTTCTCATGTTTGAGCAAGGTGGTGAGAAATGCTGCCAGGTAGGAGACGTGCTCTCCACAAGGTGTTAAATGAGAGGCTCCCAGATTCTGCACACTCTTCCCTTTTCAGTGCTTTGTATGTCGCGTGCATGAGCCACCTTTGCAAAGTGAATGAACAGGACCATGGGCCTTGCAAAAGGACCTTGGATTCAAATGACCTTCCACTTCCCTCTCTTCATTTAGGGCCTGAATGTTCTTTGTCGACTGACAGCACTCCAGGCTTTAGCCAGCCTGCAGACCCCTCCCTTGGGTCAGAAGGAATCCTTTCACAACCCATCTCTGCAGACCTATTGCCTAACCTTTCTGTGCAAAATAGCCACTTCCTATTGAAAAACCTAACCAGAAATTGAATCAACCAGTTCATGGCATCTCTAGGCTGGGCCAGCTCATCTGATGCTACCGTTGTGTATTTGAGAACTCGTGCATCCAAGGAAAAATTTGTCATTGAATTCAAGTAATTATGATCTGGTTCTCTACAAAGAAGTGTGCAGCAAAGCGATCTGGGCAAGTGGCTCTCCGTCACCAAGCATTTACCTGCAGTAATTCACAACGCTCATTTTTAATAGGGTCGAAGCATGTAATTTAAACAGTCTTGGTTACTAATGTGTAGGATTTTATTTTTAAAAGTATTTATTTATTTATTTATTTATTTATTTATAGAGAGGTTTTTGCTATAATGTGTGGGTGCTTGTCAGAGAGAAAGCAGGAAACAGAGAGGCAGAAAGTGATAAATCACCCCCCAGAGGGGATGGCCATGCCGCAATTCCTTCTCCATTCTCCTCTTGGGATTTTGGGCATGCAAACACACGTGCCCAGTGTGAGTTTTAAGCCACCGGGTCTGGGACTTGAACCACAGTGTTCTACATGGGATTCCAGTGACCATTACACCTTCTGTTGGTCCCACTAATATGTAAGATTTTAATCATGACAAATATTCTAGGTATCTTTTTCTCTAGTCTTCTAGTGAAGCTTTATTATGGATCTAAAAGTAAACTACTTTCTTACCGATATGTATATTTTAAATTTTGTTATGAGAATGAGTCTTCTGGTGTTCCTAACAGTCCCTCAGAATTAGTGTCCTGAATAGTTCGTATGGGTCTGAAAAGGCCAGCAGATGGTGTAGAGGTTATGTCACTGGATTCCCACATGTTCAACCACAGTTCAAGTCCCGGATCCAGTGGTTTCAAACTCACACCAGGTGCATACCCAAGATTCTGGGACAAGAATGGAGAGGGGATTCCAGGCCATCTCCCTGGAAAATGATTTCTCTCTGTCTCTCTCTCTGTGTCTCTCTGGCAAGCGCATGCACCATACAGCAAAAATCTCCACTTGCACATCTATGCAAGCATGTAAGGAATATACACTAATGTTGGGGCCCATCCCCACACACCACTAAGAGACACAAGTGGCAGGAGGAAACGTGGGTGGGAGACAGGAGTGTGGAGACACCAACGACTGCAGAGCCTGATCTTCTGTACAAAGGCACACATACACGGAAACGGGAGGTGGGTGAAAGGGGTCTCAGCCTCACCTGCAGTTTTTCACTTTTTTACAAGAAAAATGTACTCATACATTATTTGTACAAATCTATGTTAATAAATTTAAAATCAATAAATAGAAATAGGACTTGATTCGTATGTCATTCGGAGTCAGCTTTCTAGGCTTGTGTGGTTGAAAATCAAGACATCCTTGTGGGTGTTTATTTACATATTAGGCTGTCAGGAAAGTCACGATGTGACAGATGTCCCGGTCTGCCTAGGACAGTTCCATTGTTTTGCCAGCAGTCCCACCCCCCCATCCTAACTGTTCACAGTGTACTCCCCCGACTCTCAAGCGTGTCCCATTTTTGTATGATAAATGATATGGTCACCTTACATATACGTTATTACAGTTATATAAAGAATTAAACGCTTTTTCTAAAGTACATATAATAGTTATCGTGAACTGGTTTTGAGGGAAAATGTCATTTTGTACATGCATAATAGAGTATGATAGGAAATCCTAAGTTCTGGGTATGTAGCAATATCCTACCAACAATTTCAGGGCCAGTCTCTGGTGTGGTGGTTAAGGTGACTGGATTCCACCAGGCCAACTGTGCAGTTCAAGTCCTGGACATGGAGGTGTAAGAAATATGTGTGTGCATGCCTAAAATCTTGAAAGGAGGGAGAAAGAAGGGATTGTAGCGTGACCATCCCCCGTGAGGTGCCTGCTCACTCAGTGTTTCTCTCCCTCTCTCTGTTGAATTTATGTACATACCGGCAAGTAAAACGAAACAAAACAAAACAAAACATACAGACGTCCTGGTGGAAGAGCAGACACTGGCACTACCCCTCACTGAGCTCCGCTAACTGAAGCAGGCAGGCGCGAGGTGAGGTACGGGGCAGGGAGGCCCTCTGCCATGCGAGCGACATAAAGCTAATGTCCGTAAGCCGTCACCAACAGTAGCACGTTAGTTCCTCTGCAAGCAGCCGTCCTACCTGCAGAAAAATGACTACTTCAGTAAGTATCGGTACAGACTGTGCAGCTCCGTGACGCACTGGAAAGGGCTCCAATATCAGGCCTGTGGACGTGGACGAGTGAACTGTCAGAGTACTGTCCTATCAACCAGGGAGGCATCTCAGTGAATTCGAAGGAACTTGAGAGTCCCGTAAGTGTAGAGCAGTGGAAGTCCAGAAGTATCTGTGAAATGATCACAAAAGTCTCACTCTTCCTTTTCTCAAGCCCCGAGAAGACACCTGCACCCATCTTGGTGATTCCCATAATGAGCCACCGCTGCGTCAGCGACAGGGCCCATAGCCTCAACGCTGCGCCTTTCACGAGATTACCGCCCTTACTTCAGTATTTCCACTGGTTCAGACACGGGAAACATACCACAGGCCTGCCTGGGCCAGTCCTGTTAGGGGCAGAAGCTGGGATCAGGGCTGGCCCCACCCCTGCCCCAGGCCGCGAGAACCTGCCATCCCCTGTATGTGGGAAGAGCTCTGAGCCGTGCACCCCGTCAGGGCTCTCTGAGCACATGCCCCTCCGACCCCTGGTTGTGCTGCACCTCCCTCTCACCTCCCTGCTAGTCTCCCAAAGTCTTAGGCAGGTCTCGTTTACCTCCAAGGATGAATCTGGAGCTGCCGGTCTGACTACAGGCTGCCTCTCCACCTCGCCCCCCATGCATGTGTACAGGGCAGCAGCTCCCAGGGACGAGGCTCGGCAGTGAACCTCCAGGCCCACCCAGACCTCTCTTTTCCTATGAGAACCCTGGGAGTCGCTATTTCCTGATGTAATGATGGCGTGGAGTGTGCCCTATTGACCATGAAATAAGGTCATCCATAATTTTTTCCTGCCACAAGTTGTGTGTACTCGCCAGAGAGAGAGACAAAGTCAGAAATCATCCCCCAGAGAGGATGGCCACACTCCAATCCCTTCTCTTTATGGATTTTGGACCCACACGCACATGCGCCCAGCCTGATGTTCAATTCTCTGGGTCCAGGGCTTGAACCGCAGTCAGCCATGTAAGAATCAAGCACCTTAACCACCACACCACCTGCTGGTGGTCCCTAATTATTTTTAGCAGCAGTATAGTATCTTTAGAACAAATATACCACAGTTAACTTAGCCTTTTTATCTATTTATTTATTTTAAGGTTTTTTGCCACAGGGCGCGTGTGCTCACTTGAGAGGAGAGAGACAGTGAGAGGGATGGCCACACCGCAATCCCTTCTCCTCCATTCTCTTCCTGTGGCTTTGGACTCACACCCAGCATGATTTTCAAGCTGCCAGGTCTGGAACTCGAACTGCAGTCAGCCATGTGAAAGTCCAAGGGTCTTAACCACTATACTACCTGCTGGCCCCTGTACTTCGCTATTTTCAAACTGGTATTTTTGTTTGTCACTTTATCCTGCAGTTTAGGCATGAACATTCTTACATCTCCTTGGAAAGCCAGCTGGGGGGTAGGGGATAGACCTTTGGCCACTATAGATACCCAGGAATGGAAGTACTAATAGATACCATGTATCAGACATACATTCAGCGGCTGCTCAGTCAAAAAATGACCTAACAATCATTGAAGTCCTGGGCTTGTTGCTCTCCTGTCACAAGTGATCCAGAAGTTAGCGGGTCTGGGTGTCACGACACAACGGTGACACCAGTGTCACGACGGTGACACTATCAGATCTTCCAATACTGTTAGCTCTTCTTCCTAATGATCTTCCCATCCTGGGCCTGACAAAGTGGGAGCACCCTTAGCCATCATTAAAGACCAGAAGCAAAGGGAAGATAACGCCAGAGTTCAATGGTTAAGTTTTAGTCACGGGAGATGAAAAATTTCTAGGGTTTGCTGTACAAACCTGTGGTTAGAGCTAACAATACTGCACTGTACTTTTAAAATTTTATTAAGAGGGAGGATTAGCAGATGATATAATGGTTATGTCTCTGGAGTCCCAT